TTTTTTTTTTTTTTTTTTTTTTTTTTTGTAAAAAAAACTAATGTTTTTGGGGTGACCCCAAACTTTTGAGTTTGATTGTATTTGGCAAGAGTTTAAGAAGGAAAAAATGCACAAACCAGATCTAACAAATATTCAGCCTGATGACTCTTCCTTTCCCCTCACAGTTTCGTCACAAAGTCCGTTTCGAAGGCATGGAGCTCCCGCCGTCCCGCTCGTCCTCCACCAGCGACTGCAAGTCCCTGTGTCTGCCCCCGCTGGACAGCCCGGACTCCCCGCCCACGCCGGACAGCATCGATGCCGGCTCAGAGGCCTCGTGGCGTCCAGCCTCCTCGAGCCCCTGCAGCCTGACGGAGGCGCCTGGGGTCGGCCTCGGCCTTGGTCTGGGTTTGGGTCTGGGGCACGGCCCGGGAGTGGTGGTAGGGGGCTCGAGCTGGAGGGAGAGGGCAGAGACGGAGGCCTCCCTGAGGAGGCTGCTCCCAATCCTGGACGCTCTCCTGCAGCAGCTGGACCGAGTCAACATGGCGACAGACGACGTTTACCACATCGAGTGCAGGCTGGAGCGGGCTCAGCGAAAAAGGAGGCGCAGCAGGAGAGAAAGAGGAGAGGACGCTCATGACCGGAGAGGGGAGAGCAAGCAGAGAGGGAAGGGAGACGACAAGGACGTGAAAGAACGAAAGACGGGAAAAGAGAAGCAGACCATGGGCAGGAAGGAGAAAAAGACTGAACTCCCTAGAGAGTCTGCAACCAAAAAGACTCCGGTCGCCACGCCGATTCCCTTTTCAAAGCCCAGACCTACGTTGGCCTCCGCGCAACCCCACATCTCTCAATCATCAGTCACCGATAAACCTGCCGCCGACCCCACCCCAACGAGCACTTCCTCTCTCCACAACCCGCTCTCCAAAACTCCCTCCGCTCCCTCATACCCCCGAGCACCCACTCCCTCCCTGCCGACCGCCCGAGGCCCCACGCCCATTGTTACCCGAGACCCGCAGACGGACAGAGAGACCCTCCCCTCCTCGAGTCTGTTCAACCACCCGGCTCACACCACCACCATCCCCACACGAAAGAGGAAACGGAAACCCCCGCCGCTGAAAAACAAGGTGCACCCCACTTAACAGGTCGTCCCCAAAACCCTTAGGGGTGGGAACTAGAGGAGGAGAAGGAGAACGCAGGAGGAAAACGCTGGGTTAAGGACGAGAGGAGAACGAGGACAGCCGGTTTTTTCCCCAGACGCACCTCTTTAAACCCTGAGACAGAGAAGAGAAACCGAGGGGGGGTTTTGCAAAGAGATGAGAAAGTTACGTAAAGGCGGAACAATTGAGCCAGTTGTTTGAAAAAAATGTAGGGTAATCAGAAGCGGGAGAGTTGGGTCTTGGCTCGCTCTCAAAGCATGGTGCAGGTCACTGGATGCTACCTAAGCCGACCGATTAAAACAGTGAAACCAAGAGATACTTGTGTTTAGTTCTCCGAAACCCCCCTCACCCTTTCCCCGTCGCCATGTGATCCTGGAGGTCTCACGGCGCTGTGACAGGAGCACAGGAAGGTGCTCACCAGACTGTACAGCCACACTTCTCTGTATATTTTTGTTTGCCTTTATTTTGTTAAATTCAGCAGTTTGGACACCACGGGTGTCGGTTCAAGCCATGTATCCTGGAACCAAAGATTCCTACAGGAACGCACATCGTACACGCATGTATATAACACTGTAGTTACATATCAGTAGGTGGAAATGTGCCTTATGCGACCGGCCCTACGAGGTACGAGGAGAGGCGTGCACGTGTGTGACGCTGTTGAGATTTCAGCTGTCACTTCTTGAGGGTGCTGATGATACAGTGCCGGCCATATGTAGAGGTAAACATGTGCAAAAGTCTTACAGCTTTATTAATGTTTTAGCACAGCAGAGTAATATCCTAGCCTTTAATTTGAGAGCATTGATTCGGTGAGGAAAATATATGCACAGAAATAGTGATTTTTTTTGTTGATTTTTTTATAACAGAACTATCTTTGGTAGAAAAGAAAAACTGAAAGACTAGTATAAAGAACAAACTGTTTCTATCGAAAAGGATGAAAGCAGCACAGACGAAATAAAGAATTAAACTTCAAGCAGTCTAGTTAAAACCTCGGCATTTCTGTTCACATGAACTCCAAAAGCAGGTAGTGGATTATAGCGCAGGGCATTCTGGGTAAATACAACCAAAACAAATGTGAGAGTCTATCGCTAGCGGCAGAAATGGCTCTAGGACTTTTGCCAAAAACAAAGAGAGAAATCCTACAACTGCTAAAGTCTCCCTTTTTTGTTTACATTTTGTGAAGGAGGAAGTTGCGATCACGTCCTTCACCGGTTCTAGCTGCGGCGCCCAGGCAATGGTGGAAACAGGTTTTTCAAACGTTAAAAAGTACGAGATGTTTTCACATAACATCTCAGAAAATTCTCCTGTGTGCTCAAACCACAAAAGTAGCACTTTAAAAATATATTTAAACTTAAAAGCCATCAGCAGATCAGTAATACCAGATGATTTACTCGAAGGCTTTTCACACATTCTTTCCTCAATAAATATGACCAGCACTGTTCATGTGAGAGAAGGGAGATCGGAACCAGAAGAAGCGACAGAAAGCTAAGGCAGAGTTCTGAAGAAGAGTCATAGTAAGTGCTGACAGAATAAGGGACTAAAGGATGGAAATGAAGACGGTTATATGGGCGGTTTCAGCTAAACATGACAGAAGTTCACCAATTATAAAGCTATACTGACTCCCATTCTGATTATATTTCCTGTTTGTTGTTGTGTTTAATATGGAATCGAATTTAAAGCACTTTTTTTAAAATTGTAGGTCATTTTAAATGTGATGTGGCATAAAGTAATAAGCTTGGTATCTATACCAAAAAACAGAAAGCTTCACTCATACTGTACTTAATTACTTAACCAGATGCGCTGCCAAAGCTTTTAAATCATTTATGCATTTTTGATTCAATCTAATCATACATTCATTCGTTTTTTTTTTTGTTTTGTTTTTTTTTTTTTGTACTTGCACTTTACTCTTTAACGTAGATGATGTTGAACACCATATTTAATTAATCACGTTTCAGGTTATGAGTACATTTACGTTAAAGGGACATTTCGGTAAGTATTTCCACCGTGTTGTTAAAGCAGTGGCTTGTTTGTTCGTTCGCCAGCTGTTTGATTTGTTATAATTTTGTCGTATCAACACACGCACTTCCTGTGTCCAGTGGGCAAAACTCAGGGAACCCGTCCTCTCTCTCTCTCTCTGTCACAGCTGGAGCCAAATCCAAGCAGAAGGTTCCAGTTATTAAAATATAATCCCATACTGGTATTTGTTATATAAATACTGACGGAGTGGTACTGCATTGTGTTGGCCTCATTGTAAAAGAGCATGAATGTTTAGATTTTCCAACAGATTTTTATTGTTTTTTTTTTTTACTTCTTCCAGCATTAAAAGACACCCCTTCTCACTGTGTATAATTTGTGTATATATTTGGGCCTATTTGGGATGTATATATTTCCGCTTTTTGAGTATCTGTATTATTTGTGCACAGTGGCACACACAAATGTCAAGCACTGGTGTTGCAATCTCCAAAGTTTTACATTTTTCTGGTCTAAATGATGCACAACAGCCAAAACGTTTAAGTCATTCAGTGTTTGACGGTTTAGTAGAAACCACAGGAAGTTCAGCAGTCACTTATCCTCTCTTTGTGTAGTGTGTGCAAGAGCATGGTGCCAAAGCTAAACTGTGTGTATCGTTTTGCAGTCTGTTGTATAAAGCTTTGTGATTTGAAAGTGAATTTAAAAGCATTTCTCTGCGCTTTCTCCCCTTGTATCAATGCAGTTGTAGCACCTCATGCTTTTGCACTTGACAAAGTCGAATAAAGTGTTTGACAGCTAAACCCTGGACGCTGTTAAATAATTCTGGGTTTTTGGGACAAAATGTGTTGAATGAAAACTGTTGCTTAATTAACTTCCTATGGAAGCCCGTTTCAGAAAGCCGAGTTAACAAGCCCCGAGTAGATACTCTGAATAAACCTACTTAGCTCTGTGATACTCAGAGCTAGCTAACTCAAATCTGAGTAAAGTTACCCTTATAGTGCAGACGTCGATTCACGCGATTCACCATGGCAACGGGACAAAAAAAAGGCCCGAAAGTGCGGATTTCTCACCAATGGACGGCATAAAGTGAATATCAAAATACATTCAACACAAAATACAAAAAAAAAAAGTACCAAAGAAAAGAAAAAGTTTCTGTCACGCTAACTCGCAACATAGCGAGTTAGCGTGAGTCAATGCGTAACGTCCAGAAAGCGAGTTTTATTTGTCTGAACAAAATATATCTGCCCAAAAACAAGATTATGCTCGAAGTATCGAATAGCGACTCCATTACTGGTTTCATTGATATCTGAGGGTCTGTGGAGTTTTTCTTTTATTATACAAATAAAGGCTCATTCTGGCACACTACTTTATAATCCATCTTTTATTTAAACATCACTACAAAAACTGCAGCAGCAAATACACCAGTGCCTTTGCGGGTAAACCAGCGGTTCATTTAGCCGTTTCACTCTACCTTCCACTTCCTATCTGTAAACTATTTTTGCATCAATGTGCTCACACTATTACATGACATTTTATTTTTTGCAACCGATTTCTGACTTTTGTAAAAAAAAAAAAAAAAAAAAAAAAAGTTTTAAACTTTTTTTGGAAAAATAAACATTTTTTTTTCCACCTGATCCC